ACTCATGCGTACAGTAACTTCTCCATCATGAGAATATGGCACGAACCTATCCCGATTATCAAACTTATTTCTTCAAAAGTCTTGGACTTAATTTCATTTTAAAAGGAAACAGTTCAGAAGTGAATCTTAGCAATGAGGACATTTACACGTACATAATCCAAAATGCAAATCTGTCTGTAATTATTAGGAAAAAATGCTAAACCAGTTGTCTGACGAGCGAAATTCTAAATGACATATTTGCATACCGTAATACTAAAAAAAATTGGAGAAAAGTCAAATACCCTTCTCTCATTTCTGCAAACTGGTAGGTTGAATGAGAATTAAAAATGAAAAATCCCCCTCCTCCCCCTCCCCCTCCCCCCCCCCCCCCTCCTTCTAATATTTTCCTCACAGCCTTGGGGTCACACATACATGTATATAATGTTTTCTTTTTAAAAGTTAAAAACTTGAATTGACAAAATGGACCCAAAATCTTATCTGTTGCGCCCCCCCCCCTGCCCCCCCCCAAAAAAAAAAAAATTAATAATAATAATTAAATCAGGTTTTTAACAGGGGCACATGCATAGATTCCAGATGCAGAAAAAGTAGTTTAGCACCGTTTCTAATCCCTCCCATATCCCTGGTCCATTACATCTATTTGACACCTCCTAGCTTTAATTTTGCCAAAAAACATTCTACCAACTGTAACCAAGTGATTATTTTAACTACACTGTTCAGGAAGTTACCATTACGAAGAGAAATATTGACATGACTCATATTTGTGTGGCTAATTTAAGCCTCATATCTCGGCCTGTATGCAGTCAATCCCCCTGTTCACAATATCAAAATTAATTGTATTTGCTACAAGGTATAACCAATACACAAATGTGATTAATTTTTTCTTGTCTGAACATTGTATGACAAAACATTGTTTTATAATGAAAAGTCATATAACGAAATGCTGTACATACTGGGTAGTTAAATGCATGTTTGAGCATCGATGGTAACAAAAATTCAATAAGAAATCAGGGTCCCCTAGACCCCTACTAGTCTGAACACTGAGTTGTGTGAAGCACATATAACTGGGCTAGGCTTACTATGAGCGCTCATAGATGATTGGCCAGCTATCATATCAACGGACCTCTTCCAAAATAGTTTTTTAGACAGTGTTTCTTTATCCTTTTTCATGTGTGAACGCCCCTTCTGATGTACTGTACATGTGTAATGATTTTTACAGACAATGAGCCTTTATATGTTTCTCTACAGAATGTTTGAATGCATTTCCTCCCATCTGAACATGCTGTTTATTATACATAGCTTCACGTACAGGGCTACATTGTACACGTGTAGGCCTACATGCACAAAACCATGATCGACCCGCCCACTCCCTCCTACTCACTCCCACACAAATATGTCAATGTCCTATTTTATTGGTCCCTATTATTTGCTCTTCATGGCCTGCTTACCAGGTCTTATTCTTTTGTGTTGCAAACGGACTACCTAGTCTGTATTCACGCTACATCTATACAGTGGAACAGTATGAAAGATTAAGAAACAGAGCTAGAGATTTATATGTGTAGTGGATGTCTGGGAAGTCTCAAAATAGTTCTTGAAATCTCAAAAAAGAGCTTGTTATTAAAATGAATGAATAAACAAATAAATAAATGAACATAAAGTTTATAAAGTAGTAAACATCAATGCCAGAAAATCTCAATTTTACTACAGCAAATCCACACAAAAAATCTTTCATGTACAAAAACTATATAATTATGTATAGGCCTAAAATATGTTTGGGAAGTATGCTTGAGCTGCAGTGGTGCACAGAAATTATCCTGCAGAAAAATCAGCCAGTCTGGTCCTGGACAATTTCATAATGTAATTAGAAGTTTCCTGAGCCATGGTTCACCTTAAAAGGGTCTGGCAAGTAGAACTGATCAAAATTTAGATTCAAGAAATTAAGTCACACCTTAGATATACTTGACCTTTCAAAGAGGTATATTTATATAGCCAAATTGTTGTCATTTTTACACATGATAGTTCATAAATTCTGTTTTATCTCTCTATGTAGAGTATTAAAGTGATTGATGATATGAACAGAAAGTTCTTTGAACAAGATAAAAAGGAAACTGAAACATGTAGGGCTAATTTTAAACACTGCAGATGTCTTAACTTTACCCACTTTTTACATTTGATTCACTTCAAGTATGAAATATTGTACTACAGAGACAGTACAACGTAGTACAGTACTTATAGCTTTTCTTTTCACTGCATAAAATCAAATGATGCTTTCTCTGACAAGAGTACAGGACTTGTTCACATGCAGTATATGAATATGCATAATTAATAAATGAGACAATTTCCTGTTACTTTTCATTTCTTCTTCCAATGGACATACTTGGATACAGATAATAAAGGTAATGTTTCATGTTCAAACTGATGATATTCTATAGTTCTCATACTATCTCTTTACAATGAAACATCTTCTTTTTTCTTCACAGTTCATACAAATTCCAAGTTCCCACGCACATGACCCAAAACCATGTACGCCTAATGTAACTCACACCTTTTCCAGCCTTTGTTTCACACTATTCATTGATTTTTCAATAACATCAAACAAATTAATTATATCACTTCTTTCAAATGATAATATAACAGAAAATAAACTGGTGTCTTTTAATTTATTTGTTCTAGGTTCCTACTTACAAATGCCTTTAAAACACCCAACACAATACATATTTTCCCAGCTGTTTTGTATTTCACATTCATTGCTTTTGTAAAATTCACCATTTAACTGAAAAATGAATCTTAAGAGAATCTTTTACAAAACAAACACATATCACATGTCTGTGTTTATATTTGTGTACACTTTAAAAATCTTTCACCCCTTGATAACGCCTCTGCAAATTCTATGTCTCCACCCTCCATATCCATCCATGCGCTTATACTAGTAATTTCTTGTCACTTTGAGCGTATGCGCTCAAGGATATTCTCAGCAAACTATTCTTTGCTGTCCCCATCTCTCGGTACCGGTACAAAAGCCTGAATGCCCAAATCTTCCTTGTGGGTTTCTCCATTGTATTCATTTGAATAAAGAGATAATTATTCCCACTCATTGGATACAAATGAAAGGGGCAAAAGTGAGACAAGAGGTAGCAAATGTATTAATAATTTCTGTATCTGGCCAGATGTTATGCTTTCTAAAACTGGAAATATTGTTCCCATCTTTGTCTGTGGACAATCTTCAGTGGACTTTCTTCACTTTGTGTAAAAACACAAAGAAATACCAGAGTATACCATGTCAATGAAGGTCATCACCATGTTGTATGCAGAAATCATAAACATATTCGATACAGGTTTTTGTTCCACTTACATTATTTGAACTGTATGAATAGGCAGTCAATACCCATCACATATTTTATTGTTCTTGTAGATAGGTTTTTTTTTTTGTTGCTGTTTTGTTGTTGTTCTTGTTGATTCAATATGATCAATGCATATTGCCTAATTTTGTATACCTTGCTTCTACAAATATATATAATAAGACTATTTGCATCGAATCATTTCTTAAAATGTTATGTCTACTAAAAGGTATTTATTCTCTATCAGTTCAATTTAAATATGCCAGGGGCAAGAATAACTCTTTAATCTTATTTAATTTTAAATGCATTTTTTAACCTGTTGGATGACAAGCTCCGGATGTCCCTGGCTGAAATGGAAAAAATGAGCCATACTAAAATCACATCATACCCAACTCTGATTGCGATAAAGGAAGCTGAATATCGACTATTTTTACAGATTACTTTGTTGATGAAATAAAGGTGTAGGCGTTTGTATCCATGCAACAGGCAAAATATGGGGGATAAATTGTTGTACTTTATTCCAAGTAAAGCCCCAATTCAGTAGCTGTGCCATGAGACTGAAAACACATTAGGATACATTACTTGTAAATGTTTGGTTAACTTCCGGCACAATATCCTCTTCTCTACCACAGGAAAAGATGCTTCTGTTTTAATAAACTTGAGATTAATTTAACAGAGGAAGTGTTGTGGATTAGCTGTTTTCTTTAATATCTTATTGCATTTATCAGTCAAAATGTCATATTTTGCATTTCTTGTCTGTCATTTTATTCATTTTTTTCCCCTTCAAAACTGGTTGTGATTTTTCTTTGTTTGTCAATCGTGAAAAGCAATAAAAAACATATAAATGTAAAAAGTACTCAAGATAATTTGAAGTTATGGCAAAACGTTGACCTAATCTATATGAATTTCAAACATATTAAAAACTCATTATACATGTATGCACTTCTTCGACATCAAACTATAATGGAGTTGCGACTCTATAGGTTCTTATGTTTACTTCACAAAACAATAAAAACAATGCAATGTAATTTTATGTTTGATTCAGTGTTTTTCAACAACCTGAACACTGCTCAAAGAATCAGTTTCCATTACAATAATCATGTTCTTTGTTGGATGAAACCAATCTTTACAATTTGCAGGATTTTGACTTGAATAACACTCTTGAAACACTTGTATGGCAATTACTGTCAAAAGTATCTATTCAAAATTTTAAAAATAGATCTCTGTTGTTTCAATTGTGCATTTTTTTTTCTTTCAAGTTTCCATTCTGATAATGGAATTGCACTTACATGACTTGCAAAACTAATGTTCAGGGATAGCAACAACTAATGTATGCAGACTGGATTCCTAGTATTGTAGTTCATTCTTAACAGGTTAATGGAATAACTCGTCTCTGCACTTGGTCCCCAGGAAAGAGACCGCCATAAATGTTAATCTTACTATTTAAAATTTGCTGTACATATTAAAGATGGAACTTGGGTATCACTGTAATCGGGACAAACCATACTAATCATAACCAATGAATAATATAATTATCTGAATATTATCATGACCCTCAATCAAAAAGGTTTTACATGCATTAACTATCAAGTCTCAAGTACAATTTCTTTCTAAATCTACTAGTGGTCAGATTGTAAATAGAACAAGGAGGTTAAAGGTACTGACCTCGCACTGTCTGCCCTTGTGGTCTTTGAGCTTGCACTCCATCCTCTTTGACCTCTGTTTACCTTTGACCACATCACGTAAGGCTAAGGTGTACGAACCAATCAACCTGAGAGAAAGGGGGGGGGGGAAGAAGGAATATAATAATAATAATAATAATTATTCTTAAAAAATAATAGTATGAAATCAATAACAATAGCAATTACAACAACAATAATAATGACAATGATACTAATAACAATAATAATAATAATAATAATATGAACATAATCATATTAATAACAATAATATTCAAAATGATCACAATAATAATATTCATGATGACAGAAATAATACATGAAGTAGTGATAATAGTCAAAATAAGAAAAATAACATATTCAGACAAAGGTATCATAATGCTCACATTCTTGGAAAAAAACCTAAAGCTGTCGGTCCTCTGCTTGCCTACTAACAAGCATTTATGCTTTCTTAGCAGTCAGGTGAAATAACCACCACTAAACAACAATGTCTAAAGTCACTTAAAAAAATACAAAAACTCAAATGCTACCCCCAGCAAATATTGGAAACAATTTTTAAGATGCTTTCTGATTTAAAATCTACATTTTTATTTCAGAAAATTAAATATTCAACATTTTTAGCCTTTTATATGATTAATTTGTACATGTAGTCTGCTCATTGGACAGAAATTTAGCATCGTCATAGTTTTAGACTTGAATTTTTAATTGACATAACAGGCTCACGAGTGACGATATTATTAGAAATACTCCTCTACCAAACAGATGACGGCAGGATGCATAGTCCATGATCAAATTGATTTTAACACCTTCAAAAAAAAAAGCACAGTTTCTAACTGAACTTCGCTATCCCTACAAAAATCTGTTTTCAATTCTGCGTTAATAAACGATAGCAGATCAAATGCGTCACAGCACATCCACAAGTTAGGTTTATCGGTACCTTTCATTTGCAGCCTAGATTTAATTATAGTCAATTTGATTGAGAAGAAAAAAAATCTACATGTACAAAAAACTGTACATTTTTATGATTGGAACAGCAGTTGATGGCATTATTCATGTACGTCATGCTGATAATAAGCTAAATCCATTTTACATCTAAACTACAAGTATCTCAGAGTCTAGACTTGTGTTGTAACTTTACTGTCTCTTGTACAGGTAATACTCATTATTTGAATTTCTTTTGAATGTGTTTCTATAAATGAAACAACTGAAATACATTGGCCCGAATTTACAAAGGAGGTTTGTCGACAAACCGAGGTTTATGTACGCCATATGACGCGTTTTGACGCATTTTTTACAAACCTGGTTTGTAATTCGGGCCATTGTGTTTTCATCTGTTGAGAGCCAGACGACTGTTATGTTAAAGTGTGTGAAAAGTATACAAGCTGAAGTAGGAGTAAACTTCAAGTATAGCAGCTAAAGCCCTTCTGCCTCTAAGCTGACAATATGATCACAGAAATAAATCAATACATTTAAAAAAACTACACATAGCTAAATGGGCTACATGCTGATATAGGCTCAACAGGTTCCCTTCCCAAAGCCTGGGAAGAATCCATCCGTCAGTTTTTGATCATTGATCTTGATTCACAGTTTGACGTAATACTCTTTATCAGCAGGCAAATCTCCACCTACACACTGCTTTCATGACGCAATAAAAATAAAATGTGTAGGTCAAAATATGATCTCTAAATATCAAGTGCTTAAAGGAATTCTGCCAGTGCAACTATTTACTTTTATCACAGACATGTACATGCATGATGCATACTTTGAACTAATGAACTTCTTTTCTGTTAGATTTACAAAGAATTAAAACTACTTTAGTTATCAAACATGTTCTTGTACTTAAAAGTAATTTATTTCCGTCGTAGGCCTGCATATTAGAGTGTTTTTATAACGGTTTAACCCAATGAAGGAATTTCATATTTGATTAGGATAGGTTCATAACCGGGGCTTATATGAGTGTAGGAAGCATTAAGGTATTATGCATACTGCATATGACATGTACATTCTATGGAGGAAAGCATACATTACAGCCATTCTTTAAAAAGTATTAAGAAAGTTGACTGTTTACCAAAGATGTTTTCTTCTACATGTACACTGTAAGTTATTTTCTGTGTCCATCTGGCAAATAAATCCTGGGCCCTATTTCATATAACTTGTTATCAATAACCAATGTTAAATTTTAAAAGACAAATTTGCTCTCAGCCAATCGCCACAATTTCAGTAGCAGCTTCTAACAGTTATTGTAACTTGTTATCGATGACAGGGCCCGGATAAAGTGGCATTTCTGGTCCTGTAAATATCTACAAGTACCATACATTATTTTATTTCTCGAGGATATTTTGTCATTTTGTTGCCCATAACAATGAAGACCCTATTCTAAGCCATGGATGAAAAATGTTGACTTGGACCTTTAAGCACCAGTCTGGAAGTTAGGCCCCTGGGTACCTGTCTGCTATGAATCAATCTTTCCTGGATTCATTCACAGTATTTATGAATTTGACCTCACAGTCATCATACAAGCCAGGCTGTGCAGGGTCGACTGGTCAGTCATAACTTCAAATCCTGTTGGCTCATAAATGCACAGACTATTACAGCTTCCTGGACGGTTTTCACTTGTATAGTTGCCATGGAGGCAATGTTTGTCGCAGTTTCACGATTGAACCATGGACAGTGATCTACCAAAATAGCACTTTTTGTGATCTGATCTCTAAAGGGCACATACAATGTAGGTATTTATAAGCACTGTAGAATCAACAATTAATGCAGTATAACATTTACGACACATGCTCTAGCATCCGTTTCTTTTCGATAGTTGATAGCCAAAAACCGAATAGTTAACTTCAACCCTGGACCCCAAACTATACCTAAACCAAAAACAACTAAATATTCAACTTAAAACATCCTTGACCAAAAAAATCTTTGGAAGCAATGTTTTGATGACCTTTTTAACATAACGAGTCCTTTTTTAACCCTTCGACTATTGAAATTGTGATTGTGATCGATTGTTATATATTGATAAGTGAAATAATAGATTACTACATGAAGGCCTCCGTTTGCATGAGATGAGACTGATCCAGGAGTCTGTGTAAAACTCAAAAGTGGGAGGGGCACAAAAGTATGTACTATTTACATGTAGTATGTGTACAGGATATTCTCTCATTCCCATAGGCTATATTACAGGAGTTATACGATTCCCATAAGCTGCCCCTAGCTAATCCCCATGGCATGCCACACTAGATCCACTGCTTACCATATACTCTTTCTCCTTACAAATACCAATCATCAACCCTTAAATATGTTCTACTAATGTCTGATATTCCCCCCCCCCCCCCCTCTTTCTATACATCTCTAAATCACACGCACTCTCCAATTAATCTAGGCCATATTCTAAAGGATTCTTTAGTCATATAAATCATATTAATTAGGTGTAAGATGAGACCTAATCTGCAATCAATCTTTTCTACTTGAGTGATTTGTGCCTTTAAATCATCGTAGATGCTAAGTCATAATCAACCCATCCCATCCATACACGAATGATGAGTCAGTGCAAATAGATGTTACCGCATGATGTTTGATGTTAGCTAGGAGGGCATGTCTTCAGTACATACACGTATCTAGGGTCTGACTACATAGGCTTATACCTGTATGGGGACCTGTTGGGAGCAAGAAGGGACTTAGCTCTGTGTAAAAAATAAGGAGCTAACGCCCTTCTGGCTCTCGGCAGACGATATGTTTATCTTTAAAAAGTTTCCACAATGTTTGCCTTGTCTGAAGCCCTAAATCAACATTATTTCAAAAGGCTATAGTATCAGTGTCGATCTCTTTTATTATGTCATGAATTATGTAGGCCAGCCTCTAGGGTTTGTGCAGAATAAATATGTTCTTTGTTATATGTGTAGTTTTAATATAGTCATGGACCTACAAGAGGTACATGTATGTAAGGCTTGCTACCAGACAGAGAAATATATTCCAAGAGGCGACGGTCAAATAAGATATCTGGACTCCTCTGCAAATGGTCTTAAGCCTCTACCCTAAGATCTTACTTCAATTGACTCATTGTCTTAATTGATGACAAGAATTTATTACAGAATGGATTGAAATATATGTTTCATTGCTAATAACTTTCAAAGATATGATTATTCCCAAGTGAAATGGTCAGAAAATGGATAATATCTGAAGCAAAGATGGAAGAGGGAATTAAAGACTGTTCAGATATTCTTTGTAAAATCCTACAGTCAGTGTTGTCATTTTTATTTTCAGCAAGTTTTATAATTTTGATTCTACTTTACAGGTCTATTTAATAAGCATTTGTGATGTATGGTGAAAGTGGGTGAAGTATTCAGAATGACTTTAACATTTGTAATGTATGGTGAAAGTGGGTGAAGTATTCAGAATGACTTTAACAAATTTTCTCTTCACTTCAGTTTCCCTACCAAACCTAACAATTACTCTTAACTTTGGGAAAGAAGAAAACTAGTTATGTTTGGATTAATACAAGTCCAGATAGATAAATTGAGTGGGAGATCAATACACAAAAACGAGGGATATTTGTACCAATGCAATATTGGCAAAGTAAACACTGCAGGCAGTGAAATACTTCCAATGAATTATGAAATGCATGCTTGACTGATCATTGAAAGGGTTTGACTAATGCCGAATTACTGTGTTACAGTTAGCTGACTTCTATCAATAGTACAATGGTACACTACAGGAAATATGTGTACCGGTTAGATCGCTTGAGCATGTGTGCTGGAGCCAATAAGCATGTACATTGTACTTAACAAACTCAAAATGGTAAACTACTGTATCTTCATGCTAATAGTGTTAGAAAGGGCCGAGTCATGTTTGGGGTGGGCATTTAGGTATTGTGATTGTCAAATGGATAAGTGAAATAAAAGATTACTACATGGAGGCATACATTTACATACAGAGACTGATCCATGAGTCTGTGTAAAACTCAAAAGTGGGAGGGGCACAAAAGCATTTAGTGTGTGTGTGTGTGTACAGGATATAAGCATGCCAGATGTGATTTTAAAATGATTCCCTCTCCATCACTACTACACAGACACCCGTATCAAACTTTTTGGTTCAC